GAATTTAGAGGTTGAAGTTGAAGAGAAAAGCAAGCGTGAGTTTGTGTTCAAAGGTTAAGTCTTGTATAGTTGCACAGAATTGATAATTATTAGTTTTGAAAGAATGATTCATTCTTTCAATTATCTGTATAAGTTTTTGCCTTTTTTTTTTTATTTCAGAAAATTGGTAAAGGTCATTTGTAGAAGTGAGTTTTGATTAATATTATAAAGTTTACTCTTGATGAATTTTAGGAGAACTTTATGATAATCTATAAAACTTCAGGAGAATTCTTGTCAAAGTTGAATGTTTTTACTAAATTTCAAAGGACATTATTGCTAGAAATGAGTACTTAAATTGTTTCTGCAAAAGCTTCTGAGTTAAGAGGAAGAGATGGTGTATTGTAGAGGCATTTTTGCATCATTAAAGTTGCGGTGGTTTGTGTTGCATAAAATATGGTAGTGAAAAATGAAAATGCCCTCTGTGCTTGGATTCTTCACACTCATTATTTGGTTATCCCATAAAATTAAAAATAAAAATTTTTAAATTTTTATTTACTCATTTGAGGGTAGGCCCAGGCCTACTCTCAAATGGCCTGGGTCCGCCCCTGGGTGGGGGACGGGCTGGTAGTTCAACCGGACTATTTATGGACCTAGTTTTCAGGCATCTGATTACGTTTTCATATGAGTCCACTACTCCACTTCAAAGTCTGCCAAACCGAATTGGGCTATGAGCATTTAGAAGTGGGCTTGAGATTGAGTATCTCAACTTGGACCAATCTATCCAAGGCAAAGATTGACTATTTCATATTAATGTCTTAATCAAAGTAAATGACGTTTATTTTAGAGACCAAATTACGAATAAGATATGTAGAAAACGACATGACGTTGGAATAATTGAATTAATGTCATGGAATAGTTGTGTTCAAAGTAGGGAAGAGTTTGAGTTGGTTTAAATAAATTGCATTTTCCCACATGGCCGCTCAAACCAAAAATACTGGAATTTTCTCTAAACTTCGCTTTCTTCCTTTATTTTTGACTCAACCGACGCTCCCCTGAAGCCAACAGAGCTGCGAGATTATTGGTCGCTGTCACCGTACCAAAAAGAACCGAAGACGAAAACAGATGGCGATGGAAGCCGAGGCTGCCCTTCCAGAGTTAGCACTTCCCGACACCGACATCAACTGGGACAGGTAAGCTTCCTTCCTCTCCCTTCTTCTTGTTGAGCTGTCAAAATATCATAACTCGTTTCGTTGTTTTTTTTTTTTTTTTTCGCTTTATTTGTTTTGTAATGGTTAGTTTAACAATAAGACGATCATGGTCATGCGTCGACTCTGTTAGCAAATATGAATACAGCTTAGAAAATCCTGAGACGATTTTAGTATCGTGGGGTTGATTTTGTGTTTAACTATACGTTGCGTGCAAATTAAGAATGTGATTTACATGTTCAAGACAGGGAATGAGCTTAATTTTGAAGCATCATTATTGCAGGGTTGAGTTCTATTATAGCACAAAACTCCCAAACTTTGGATTTTCATTTTTAATTTCTGGATATATACATAGGAATACTTAGAATAAGCCTAGTGTTTTGATGTGCTAAAATGAAAGGCAGAACTAACGCTTTGCATAATCTTTCAATATAGGCTGGATAAGTCAAGATTTCATATAATTGGGGCGATCCTCTTTACGGCTCAGTCAGCCTTATTACATCCAACTGCGGTGGTGAAGACAAGAATGCAAGTAGCTGGTTCTGGTTACTCTCAAATACGGGGGATATCAATGTTTAGTAATATATTGAAGAATGATGGAATACCTGGCATTTTTAGAGGTTTTGGTACTTCTGCCATTGGATCGATGCCTGGTAGGGTCCTGTGTTTGACATCGCTTGAAGTATCAAAAGATATGATGATGAAATATACTGAAGGTGTGGACATGCCTGAAGCAACCCGTGTTGGAATAGCTAATGGAGTGGCCGGCATGGTGTCAAATTTAGTTTCTTGTGTGTACTTTGTGCCTTTGGATGTGGTACGTACACCTGTTCTTCCTCATGTTAATTTACTTTTGTTTATTTTGCTACGTTGATGGGAAGCACCGTCCTGAAGAGAAAACAAAAGATCCAGTGAATCAAATGTCTGGATCTAGGCTGGTGTAGCAATATTTTTTAAAGTTACTTGTCTACTTGAGATTGATTATCCTGGAGATTCAGGAAACTGCTTTAATACTCTATGTCAGAGCACATTTCATATGTTGAAAGCCATATGTAGTCCATTTTCCCTACCGAGAAAGAGTTAGGATGTTCTATATCTCTTGATATAATACCTTATTTGTCATTGGACACGTTCTCAGATTTGCCAGAGATTGATGGTGCAAGGGCTCCCTGGGACTACATTCTACAATGGGCCATTTGATGTTATAAGCAAAGTGATAAAAACTGAAGGGTTGCGTGGTATTTATAGAGGATTTGGTTTGACAGCATTGACCCAGTCTCCAGCATCTGCACTTTGGTGGGGTACCTATGGCGCTGCCCAACACATAATTTGGAGGTGTCTCTAATTTTCCCACAGGTATATCATCTCCTATTACAGTTTCCATGTCGGACTGAATATCTTAAATAGATTATTGTGCTTTTCTCATTCTTAGGAGCTTGGGGTATGGAGATGAAGCAGAGAAGAAACCATCTCATATGGAGATGGTGACAGTTCAGGCCACGGCAGGAATGGTGGCTGGTGCTTGCTCCTCAGTAATCACCACCCCCATTGACACCATTAAGACATGACTTCAGGTAATGTGATGAGCTATCATCTGTTTCTTTGGTCCAGTATACCCATGGAAAGGAAACAGTTTTTGATTTGTTTTATTAAGAATAATCTTTAGAATTAGGGTCTTAAGACATGCCATATTCAGAGGAACTCTGATGTGATTATTTTCTGACTGGCTTTTTCTCTCTGCTAAAGGTCATGGATAACTTTGGTGTCGGAAGACCATCAGTACTCAAGACAACGAAGACACTCCTTAAGGAAGATGGATGGTGGGGATTCTATAGAGGTTTTGGCCCTCGGTTCTTGAATATGTCACTCTATGGAACAACAATGATAGTTACCTATGAACTGATAAGTAAGTATATCTCCCAGTTAATTAACCTGAAGATTAACAAATCTAAAGGTTAACTATAACAGCAAATGCAATACGAGCTATGTAGCTTTGACACTTTGTGCACATAGGCAAAATATCCTTGATTTGTGATTTTTAAGTAAAATAGCATTTATAGTCTTTGATATAAAATTTCTGACACATTTAGTTGTGTGCAAAACTTTCTGTTGGACAAAAAATGTCTACCAATTTCTCTGCACGCTAATGGGATTATACCTTGCTTTAATATAACTCAGGACTTGAATTTATTTAATGAAATATAGAACCATCCCTGTGCCTGGGATGGGAGGGAGTAGATCTTGTGTCATATTTGTTAATTCATTTCTGGTGTACATGTTTGTGTTCCAGTCTTGTTCTTACAATTCCAGAGAAAGGACTGTAGCTCTGTCCTGCTTGTGTGCTTCATTTCCTGGTATATCAGTTTGTAGGCAGTTGATCACTGTATGTGCACATCAGTTCTAATGACTGAAAGATAATTGCTATCTAACCACTGTTCCTTTATTTGCTTTCCATTTTCTGACAGAGAGACTATCTGTAAAGCAATATTGATATTTGTCATGGAGGGGATGCAAGTTTTCTGTAACACTGCAATTTTCTGACTGGAAGAGAAGGATTCTGACAAGAGATTCTTTTAATGAAAACCTTGATGGTTCTTCAGCAGTTGTATGATGGCAACTGGCAAGCATTTGCATTAACTAGATTAGTTAGCCTTGCTCGAACAGATTCTTTTTGATTCATTTCTTCCTTCTTTATAGTTATGATGAGAAGTTAAATTTTCATTACTCCCGGAATTTTGTAAATGTATAATAGCTTTTGAATGATACCTCCTTTTCCTTCTGTTCTAGGATGCTAATATGCTTGTAGCTTATTTGACTGACAAAAACGTTACAACATATGAATGAATCATTCTTTCTCCCACTTGCTGCTGGCAATCTTGAGTGACTCTGTTCATCTTTGCGAAGAAATAATCTTCACATGTTGCAATACAATCCGTCAATGAGATTTGATGAGAGTACATTGTGTTTTCATTTCTAGGGACCTCTATTAGTTCAAGATGAGTGTGTTTAAAGGTTTTTTTTTTTTGTTTTTTTTTTGTTGTGGTCCGAGTATTTCAGTTAATTTGTACGTATCTTAATTAATTCTTCGGGTTTTCGGGTTTATTGAATGGGTATGACTTAAACACAATACTTCTAAGTAATATAAGGTCTTGACATCCAAGTGATTGTGTTTAAAATGAGCCTTTTCAAATGGTAGTACTTTGGCAAAATACAACTGCGCTTTATTCGGGGGAAGTAATTTTTGGTCAGCATCCCCGTTACTATATACATTTTATAATTAAAAACATCTTTTTAAAACCCATTTAATATTCAAAATACCTCTTTGGCTCTTTCTTCAATTTCCATTTTAGAAAAAAAAATGTCAGTTTTTAACTGCAAAATAGAAAAAAATGGACGTGTTTTTCAATAAACAAACAATTCAATAATTATGACAATTTAAATTTAAGATTTATGCAAAAAATAAAGGTTTTTAAGATTATAAAATAGAGTGGATGAACTTAGAATTTATAATGTCTTTTCTCGTAATAGTTTTTAGTATTAAACTCTCTCTCTCTATTATCTCAATTGAACAACAAAAGAACCATGAATTACAATATGATACTTATTTTTTGCGGCTATAACCAATTGTGACTTTTATTTTAATGGTCGACATTTAAAGGGCTTTTTGAAAGACAAAAACGCAGCCAAATAAGACTCAGAACACCGCAGCCAAATAAGACTCAAAACACCGCAGCCAAATAAGACTCAAAACACCGAGCCTTCCTCGTTGACGATCTTTACACTGACCCCATCAAAAATTAAAGGAAAAAAGTACTGACCCCATCAAAAATTAAAGGAAAAAAGAAATAACTCTTACGTCCTTTTTTCTCGAGACACATAAAAGGCAAACAGAGCCCTCCAAATTGAAATTTATTTTGTTAACTGGTGATCGACGGCTCCTTTTCACATCATATTTCAAATCCTTTCTTTCTTAACCGTAAGTTTCTCTTCTCTTCTCATTTCTCTCGTACTTCACTTCACTTCAATTCTCAGCTCCATTCTGCTTAGATCTTATGCTATTTTGTTCTTCATTTAACAGCTTAAGTGAATTTGAATCTGAATTTTTAGTTGTTTTTGAAATCTGAAATTAGATCTGTTACTTTACTTTTCTGATCTGTTAGATCACCGTAGTTATTGATGTTCGATTGTTATATTGAATTTTAGATCAAATTATTTGTTTTTGAGAACCTATTTTTGTATTGATTGTTTTTGTTTGGCTGAATTGATGATTAACTTGTGCTTACTATTTGAAATTTGATGTATCAGAAGTAGGATGGGACTGTCTTTCACCAAGCTTTTTAGAAAGCTATTTGCTAAGAAGGAGATGCGTATTCTTATGGTTGGTCTTGATGCGGCTGGTAAAACCACTATTTTGTATAAGCTTAAGTTGGGAGAAATTGTCACAACCATCCCAACTATTGGTATGCTTTCTGTTTTTGGAAATTCTTTTAGTATGCACAAGCTCACATAGATGTAATTATATGTTTCTGTGGTGTTTAGCATCATATATCTCTATGAAGATATCAAAAGCTGGGAATTGTTTTATGCTTATGATTTTTTTTTTCTTGACAATGATAGGTATAGTGTTTTTCCTTTCGATTAATCTGGTATATTAGAAGTTAATTCCTAGATTGCTTGTTGGTCTATGGTTTGTAGTAGTAAGTCTTCAATGCAACAGAATCGATGTCTTATCCATAACGTCCTCTATTTTTTTTTTTTTTTTTGGCTTGATATTTAAATTATAAAATGTTTCATTTTATCTATTATGGCAGGTTTCAATGTGGAGACTGTGGAGTATAAGAACATTAGCTTCACCGTGTGGGATGTTGGTGGTCAGGACAAGGTAAGTTGCTTGTGTACTTTGATTTCTACTCTTTGTTTATTTATTTAGAGTGGAACTATAGGTTTGATGTAATTTTAATCCATTCAAACGATTTTGCTTGTTGAATCACTTTTCTTTTGGGCAAATATTTTAGATACTTGTATTGCTAATTGCTGTTACGGCAATTATTGGCTTCCTTAGTTCACATGACCATAAGCTAAACTGGCACTGAACATTAGCTCAATTAACTTCATTTAGTTATTCATTCTAGTTTTTTCTTTGTTCTAGTTGAGGAAATCTGACCCATGCCTTTTTCATTTGTGTGTGCTGCATTGTCCCGTTAACTAGGCTGGAATACACACACTCACAAATATAATCTTATTATTATGCTAGCAGCAGTTCCATGACTTGTGTGGAAACCTATGTTTGTTTGTTGATTTCAGATTCGACCTTTATGGAGACACTACTTCCAGAATACACAAGGGCTTATCTTTGTGGTGGACAGTAATGACCGAGATCGTGTTGTTGAGGCTAGAGATGAGCTGCACAGAATGTTGAACGAGGTATGGGGGCTTTTATAGTCATGAGATAATTTAGTTGGGTTTTGTATTTCATTTATTTATATCACTGAAACCAAAACTACCTTTTATCATAAAATCATAGTAAGATGATTATTTGTTGTGGACAGGATGAATTAAGGGAAGCTGTGTTGCTTGTGTTTGCTAACAAACAAGATCTTCCAAATGCAATGAATGCTGCAGAGATCACCGATAAGCTTGGCCTTCATTCTCTACGACAACGCCACTGGTAAAATTTATAAATATTGCTACTCTCCCAGAGGAAGGCAATCAAACCTATAGAAAACACTCAAGTTTTTGAATGTTGATATTTTGCAGGTATATCCAGAGCACATGTGCCACTTCTGGAGAAGGGCTTTATGAGGGACTGGAATGGCTCTCGAACAACATTGCTAACAAGGTATATGTAGTAGCATCTACGATAATCAAATGCTCCGATTAAAACTTGCATCAGGAGATGCTCTTCATATTGTATTTAGGATTCGCTTTTAGATTGCCAATTTTTTTTTTTTTTTTTTTTGGTTATTCTCTAATTCAATCACTATTTTTAATATTTCAGGCTTAATGGACTGCAGGTGGTGAATTATTGAGTGATTATCAGTAAAGTTAGGAGTCTAGTGTTGGCTTGGGTTGTATATGTTACCGACTTGCTGTTATTGCAAGTTCTCTTATTCTTTTGGAAATTCATTTTTTTGAGTTTCCGGCAGGAAAGGAGATATTTGTTCTTTTGTTGCTCTTTGTATTTCTTTCTTGTCGACTTTGATAAACAATTATTTTGTTGAATCTTGAGGATACATTACAAATAAAGTCTTATTTGTTATGTACCATAAAAAACAAAGACTTAATAAATTTGCTTAAAGCTAGGCCTTCTCTATTTCTCCCGCGCCGTCCAATGGGAGTATAAGTGTTCTCAATTTATGCATTGAAATATATAAAATTATAAGATCCTATATTATTATTAAGGAAAGGTTGTTTATACTGTATAGTATGCCATTTTAAATATCATATCACACTATAAATATTATTTAATACTTTGTTGAATAGATATTCTTATTTTTTTTCTTTATTTAATTTCTCTATCGCTTCAATCTACATTGTTATTATGAAAAATAAATCAATAAAATAAATGTTACTGTGAATTAGTGTCTAAATGTAATTTATCTTTGTATATATTGAACTTGTTTTCAACTTTATTCCTATTGATTCCATAATAAGATCTTATTTTTTATTAACATCATCTCAATCTTAAAAGAATTACTCTCTCTGTTTCGAAATAAAAGCCGTTTTCAGTTATTGCACGTTTTTTAATAAACTAATTTTTTAATGTAAATTTTTTTTTCTTTGCTCCTCCCTCTGAAAGTGCATGGGAAATGGAACGAAGAAAAAACAATGATGATTGATGGAAAAGTTGTGTTTAATGGCTTTTGAAAGAGAAAGAGAAAGAGAGAGAAAGAGAGAGAGAGAGAGAGAGAGAGAGAGAAGATGAGAGGTGAGGGAAAGAGAGAGAGAGAGGAGACAGGGGCATACTTCGAGAAAGAGAGAGAGAGGGTTGCATTTGGCCAAACGACATTTATTTTGAAAAAAATTTATAAGACTAAAACGACTTTTATTCTAAACAGAGGGAGTAATAAACATAATCACGTTATATGATCATATAATATAAACTTTATTAACAGAATAAAATGTTTAACAAAAAAATATTAAGACTTTACATAAAAAGAGGAGTTTTCTTTTGAAATACCACCATAAAGGTACAGTTATCCAAGTAGATGGCCATCTATTTAGTGTAGTTTCGGTAGGACAAAAACTTTTTGAATGATTCTTGTCGAGGTTGAAAACAACCCAATCTCTTTGGTTGGAACCTTCTCGACATTGAGGGAATTCCCATTCATTCATTAGTGGTTCATCATATTCATAAGTGAAGTAGATGCAATTCGCCATACCAAGTCCAAGTTCCTTTGCAAGAATAGATCTTGAACAATTTCTACTCACAAATAAAACATAATCCCCTAAGCTATCTAATGCCACCCAAGCCTTCTTGGATAAATCCAGCTTACATATCTTAAAATCATAAGTCTCGAACCTTATGCTAGAGTGGAAATCATGTTTTCTCCTTAAATATCGATACACAAGGATAATCTCTCCGCATAACTCCACTAAATACCTTGATGACATTGATATGTCTTCATCTTCTTGTATAGCTAGCTCATGAGGCATTCTAACTTCGTATAATTCAGTTGTAACTGTTGAAAGAATATTTGTACTATCAATGACTGTTATTATTATTGTACAAAAGATAAAAATAACCATTCAAGGATATACCATCATAGTACCGATCTGCTCCGAGTTCACACCAATCTTGAGCTCCCGGGGTCCAAAATATTGACTTACTCCACAACCGAGTGAATAACATATATACACAGTTTTCATCACCAGGATATTTTGAAAACATCAACTTACGATAATTCTCGTCCAAAAGAGGAAGATGAATTTCAACGCCTGACAATGGATTAATCACAGAGATCTTGAATGGACATTGATGAAATTTCACCATAATCAACCATTCTTCAAAAGAGCCCATAACACATCCTCCGCTCAAAACACATTCTCCGTAAGATTTGGGGCATTTTATTTTCAAGTATACTGAAGCAACTCTTTGTTGTGGTTTCATATTGGCCAGACATCAGCAGCCATGGAAAACCTCGCGATGGCTTAGCACAAATGGCTTTGGTCACAATGCCTCTCCATGTCTTGCAAACATTACCAAAAGATACGTAGTCACTTAGAGCTAACTTCTCTGAGATCATCTCAAGAATACCTTCAGGTAGATCTTGTAACAACTACTGAAAACTAGTACAATGCATGCATAATTGCAATAAAAAATTGGGCCCAAAGTTTCTTTTCATTAATAATACATATGTCTTTTATACACAAATAGTACTGTTTACAAAAAATGCATTTTAAAAGACGAATTAGGGGAACAGTGTAGCTATTCCTCTTCGCTTGCCGACGCCTCTCCGACTGCTTCATCACCTAGGACCTGCATCCACAAAGGAAAATAACGGGGTGAGCACAAATAATGCTCAGTAAGTAAACCCTCTAACTGTCTGTCCCCGTANCTTCGATGACATTGATATGTCATCATCATCTTGTATAGGTAGGTCATGAGGCATTCTAACTTCGTATAATTCAGTTGTAACTGTTGAAAGAATATTTGTACCATCAATGACTCTGATGTTATTATTATTGTACAGAAGATAAAAATAACCATTCAAGGATATACCATCATAGTACCGATCTGCTCCGAGTTCACACCAATCTTGAGCTCCCGAGGTCCAAAATATTGACTTACTCCACAACTGAGTGAATAACATATATACACAGTTTTCATCACCAGGATATTTTGAAAACATCAACTTACGATAATTCTCATCCACAAGAGGAAGAGGAATTTCAACGCTTGACAATGGATTAATCACAGAGATCTTGAATGGACATTGATGAAATTTCACCATAATCAACCATTCTTCAAAAGATCCCATAACACATCCTCCGCTCAAAACACATTCTCCGTAAGATTTGGGGATCTGTAGGAACCGCATTTTATTTTTAAGTATACTGAAGCAACTCATTCTTGTGGTTTCATATTGGCCAGACATCAGCAGCCATGGAAAACCTCGCGATGGCTTAGCACAAATTGCTTTGGTCACAATGCCTCTCCATGTCTTGCAAACATTACCAAAAGATACGGAGTCACTTAGAGTTAACTTCTCTGAGATCATCTCAAGAATACCTTCAGGTAGATCTGACGACCAATCCACACTTATTTTCTTATCCTTCATCCTGAAAAAAGAAAAGAAAAGAAATACATATATATATTTATTTGAAAGATACCTGGAAAAGAAAAAAATATATTTAAAAGATACTTGGCGAACTTGTTTGCTTTAGTTTCCTGAATATATTTTTGGGTGCTACAGAGAAAGTATTTATAGCCTCTCAATGAGAGTCCTAAATGGCTAAATCTACTAGGATTTTCAGGAAATCCAATCCCAGTCTAACTGTAAATCTAAGATTTTCAGGAAATCTTATCCTGGTCTAACTATAATTCTATAAATCTAATTCTCCTGTGATTAGGATTATAAATTATTTCCTAACGTAACTTAATAATACTATACTAACTAGAAAAGAAAGTCTATAAATCTAAGATTTGTACAGTTTCTTGACATCTTCACAGCTTCATTCACCAATTTGATCATACCCTTATAATCCTTCTGGTTGGATGGCAAATGGACAGCACTTAACTTGTCCATTGTTACTGTGTAATCATTCCAACAATTCAACATTTCATTCTTCGCTGCATCATCTTTCTTATTTTGCAGGATTTCTTTGAAACCATTTCTGGTTAATCTTGCTTGCGTGGTTGCTAAGAGAACTGTGATTACACCAAGTTCATTCATATCTGCCACTTGGGATTTTATTGTGAAATTTTTCAGAGTGGTTTTGCAGAGCTCTGGGGTCACAATTTCACCACAAAGGGCAACAATTATTTGTCAGGTACTTGGATATAGGGATTAGGGAGTTAGGGCATATGAGTGAAAAAGGAAAGAAAATAATTAAAAAGAGAGGAATAAGAAAAGCTGAAAAATAAAAGGCCATTAGTAATTTGTTTGCAAAGTTGTGGGGGAGTTTAGCTTTAATTTATAGCGAGATTGGTTTAACTTGCAAAGCTAATTAGAAAAGAGGTTGTTGAAATGGTTCATGTATTATGTATTGTAGAGTTTATCACAACGTAAACAAAACAATTTAAGTGTAGGAAACTACCACTCAGGAAAAAGCCCCCATTGAAGAAGAAGATGCATGATACAAAGAAAGAACAAAATGAAAAATACAACTTCATGCCTATAAAATACTGCTATATAACTTAGATCTAAGTACAAGAAACACAAAATGCGGAAGTTCTTATAATAACTGAGCAAGTCCTGCTAAAAGTTTCAGTTTATAATATGGATCCTCCCTCTCCTCTCGTAAAAACCACCACAGAGGTGCAGTAATCCAAGTTGGTGGCCATCTGTTTGATTTGTTACCTTTGGTCACAACCTCCGAATGATTAGCCAGCTTGAAAATGCCCCAATCGCCAATCAATCTTTGTGTAACTGTGATGGTGTAAAATTGAGAGAGGAAATGAAAGAAACATTATTAAGTGTAATTGTCTGAATTCTTCTTAAATGATTTTGGTATAGACTGGGGAATATTTTCATATACCTGAATCTTACTTTATGGGCTTTCTTTCTCGTATTCATATACCATTTTAGGCTTAGGCATTTCCTATCTTTGGTTTAGGCTTATTATACCAGATAAATTTTCTCAATTATTTCCTGGTTCATGCCCAAATAATACTTTCCTCACAGGAAGAGATTTGTGGAACTCTTGTTTTAGATTACATGGTTTCCCTTCTGATTCCTTCAATTGTTCTATACTTCCTGCAGGAATTGGCTATCACAACCCATTGTCTTTAAAGGACATAGAGATGGAATATCTGGTTTCTCTGTATGCGGCCAGAATGTTATTTCAATTTCCAAAAATAAGATTGGACTTTCCTCTTTATCTAAATCTGCCAATGAAGTACGTATGCAGCATTGTTATTGAGTTCTTTCCATGCCTGCTTTGAGCACATAAATCATAATCTGCATCACAAATATTATATTCATGTCCTTATCTTCTTGTATTTTCAGTAAACTATCTAATCTTGACATGTATTGCTTCTATTAACATACTATACTCAAAGATTTAAAGAAGATTGAGAAAGGAAAACTAGGGTTCCATGTATTAAGATTAACCTAAGAAAAAGAGAGTAAAGTTACATATATACACAAT